GACAAAGAAACCAAGTTGTTTGTTTTTTCTTTGTTTTTATGGTGCATGGCAACAAAACACTTCTGATTAGCGCCATCAATATATAATAGACGAATTGTTTAAAACTGCAAGCCGTGGCTGCCATCAGAGATAACCAAAACACATGTTAACTGTGAGTAATAATGCCCGGCTCATGATGCCTCAATGTTGATGTTGATCACCATTACGAAATTATAAAGTTTTAATAAGTGTTAGCTATTAGAGGGCTATAAGGCTGGTCCTGACAGAACATCTGAAGTAATGCACTTAGATACAATTTTGAGGATGTTTACTCAATATTTTCTATTTCATGCTTCTTCACATTTTTGTTGATTATACTATACTATGTATTTTGTTGATGAGTACTTTCATAATTTTCAAGTAACTGAGTCTTTTTCATGGTGGTATCGCTACATCAACTTCTGTAAAAAGTGGTGACTGTTTTTTACTGCTTGGAGTTGTTCCTTCCTCTCTGGGTAGTTTGTTCTGCGGCAGCTGTTGGTTTGTTTAAGCAGCAGCTTTATGACACAAGAGAAACCATCATTTCAGGGACATAACTCTCAGGTCTAACTCTGTTTGTGCCATGTGCCTGAACAATGTATGTTAGAACATACATTGATAAGTTCAATATTATTTATGCACATGGGTCCATATAAACACACTTATTGGATGGATTGCCGTGATAAACTATCAGCATGAGTGTTAAGGAATTAAATCAAGATGCCTCTGGCATTGTGTGGGGAAAAAGCTGACCCACCTCCCATATAGGGACACCATTTATTTTGGTGTTAAAGCGTGTAGATGTTTATGGTGAGAACTATACAATTTATGGTGATGTTTTCGTTGGAGTTCAGCATGTGGTTTGGGTGATTCAAGTGGCTATATGTAAGAATGAGTGTAACATGAACACCTAATAATTTGATAGACTTTAATACAACCGTCAATGAATTAGGAAGTTGCATTTCTGTCCTTTTTGCAGAATCATATAAATCCACTCTCTTGTCCTGACCTGCTGTGGCAGCCAGTGAGCATTTGCCTCAGGTTAGAGGTCTGGTGTCAAATTTTCCAGCAACAACAATCTTAGCTGTCATCACAGCTTGAGCCTGAAGGTGACCAGTGTCACAGATATGAAAGGTTTAAAACCAATAGTTTTGAGAGTCTGGTAGACTTGCCCGCCAGCTCTGACTTTTAAAAAAACATTAAAAGTTAGTTGGAGTCTGGTTATTAACTGTTTTCCCTGCAGGTCGTAAATTGATTGACGGATTTTAAATTTTACAAATGAAGGCTTACAAGTGTGAGATTAGGTTATAATTATGATTTTCTTTATGCTCATTTGTGCATTTGTATTTGTGTTGATCTTATCCTTTGGTTTGGTTAAGCTAAGTTTCTATATTTTTATGTATTAATAGTTTTTCCTTTGCTTATTTTTGACTATTTTGTTCTGCTTCCTGTGTACCTTATAATTGTTTTAATGCCATGCTAAGATTTCCAATACCTAGTTATAGGAGTTGGACACATTACGGTCTGCTGCTTTCCTTGTATATCAAATTGGAGAAAGTTATCCATTATTGTAAAAAAAAAAAAAAAAAAAAGGGAACTTGAAACTTCCTTTATATTTATGTTTCCCAGTCTCATACTTCCTCCACTCTTACCTGTGCATTGATTATAACATTTGATCGGTTCTTGTACCTGTTTGCCTGAAGTGAGTGTGGCGTTTACTTTTTGTCCATCTCAAAACAACATGCTGCTTAGCTTTTCTCTCCTGTGGTTTCTGTGTGAGAGTACAGGTAAGGACATCTTAATTAGTAAATGTAATAACAGAATCCAGGACATCGTTTTTTAAATATACTGTTAACGTTTATTTGTGCTTCTTGTTGTCTATACAGTGACATTCCAGACTACAACATGGACTACAACATACTCCACAAATACTACACATGCTACTGTTGAAGGTAATACAGAATGTGATGTGTATTTTTCCCTACTCGGTTCCAATTTCATTTTTTTTCTTGAAAGTTATCTTCAACTGAACACAGGGAGTCCCCCGAATGATGTCCCTATGCTATAGGTTTATGTTATGGCCACCAGTTTTAATTATTTAATTTGTGAGCAATTATGTTTTGTGTGTAATTTTGGCCATGGCAGAAGAGTCTCAATACTACAATTGAACATCTACCGGCACTATCGAGAAATGGAAATAGTGTCAACACAGGAAAAACTTGACTGGTCAACTCTCACTAAAGAGGACATCTTAGTCTATTATGCTCGTACAGACCAATCCTAATGTTCATCTACCTAGAGATGCAGCTATGTGTACTGACCCATAACATCAGACCTTTAAAGCCAAACATGGCACTGACTTGTGTATATATGCCTTAAAGTAAATTGTCAACAAATATAGAGGTCAAAACTCATCAGTTCTTATGTGTTTTACTGATGCCTCTAAAGCATTTGATCGTGTTAATCATAGTAAGTTTGTTAAACTGAGCCAAAGAGGTGTCCCCAAATACAGTGTGAGAATTCTGGCTTACTGGTATGCCCAACAGACTATGCAAGTAAAATGGGGTAAAAGTGTCTCAGCCCCATTTGGGGTTAGCAATGGTGTCCGACAAGGGGACATTTTGTCCCCAATTATTTTTAATTTATATATTGATGTTCTGTCCAAGCAATTGAAAGCTTGTAATACTGGGTGCATGATTGGTAATACTCTGGTTAATCATATTGTGTATGCTGATGATCTAGTGAGTGATTTTTACTCCATGTAGCGCTGGTCTTCAGCAGCTCCTCACTATATGTACTGTGTATGGAGTGGAACATGACATCAAATACAACACCAGTAAGAGTGCCATCTTGATCTGTCGAACCAAAGAGGACAAATGTATAGACTTCCCTGACTTCAAATTGTCTGATAACAATCTTGGTGTCTGTAAAATATCTTGGTCATTTTTATAACAGAACAGATGACCGATGATAATGACATTTCTAGGCAATGTCGTAGGATGTATGCACAAGCAAACACCCTCTCACACAAGTTTGGTCTGTGTACAGATGGAGTGAAGATGCAAACTACAAGAAAAAAAGCTGACAGAGACTTCAAATAGCTTATAATGACGCCATGAGAATATTATTAAAGAGACCGAGATGGAGTAGTGCCAGTGAAATGTTGCGTGGCTGCAGGACTCAACATTTCTTAAACAGTTTGAAAAGTATTATGTATAAATTTATTTGTAGGCTTAATGACTCTGAAAATGTCATCATCTTGGTTTTATCCAACATAAGGTTTAGTAGCACACGCTACCAGTCCCAGCTGTGGAGTCATTGGTACAGCTGTCTCTTTGTAAGGCATTGCTAGGCCTATATGTACTTTTATTGTTCTTGTATGTAATTTGATGTATTTGTCTTCTATGGACCCTGAGTCTGAAATAAAGTTTGATTGATTGATTGAATACACATTGAGGCCAGTCAGAGGCGCGAATAAGAGTGTTTACATATTCAAAGTGCTTCGTTGTTAAAGTTGAGAGCAAAACACGCTACCAGAGTTGCTGAATTCAACCACAATTGATCAAGAATTCAAAAGTGAGTTGATTTAAGCTGCAGATTATGTTTTCAGTTTCCTGAACAGCTCAATCTTTGGAATCCAATCACCGTTAGCGTCACATGGACAACATTTTAAGCTACTTGGGGTCTTAGTTAAAGCTTGAATACGTACAACTTTTTTTTTAAAGTTTAGCATGATAGCATGCTAGCATTTGCTCAGATGCATCTGATGGGAATGGCATTAATTATACAGGTATTTGGTCATAAACCAAGGTTTTGGGCAAATACATTTTGACCTACATATTGACCTTATCCTCTGGGGAACAGATACACTTGCCAACACAACAGAAACCAGACATTGCCCTCCCTAGAACCACGCCACTAGTGTAACTGTTTATCAACTCACTTCCCCTTCCTTTCTTTCCTCCATCCATCATCCTTCATTTTGTGTTCACCAGACCGTCGACCGCACCCTTTTTCCTCCTCAGGAAAGCTCTCTCTGCAGCTGGTGGCCATACCAGACTACCCAGTTGCAGCAGGTCAAAGAGTCAACCTGCTCTGCAAAGCTTCCAACGTGAAAGACTCTGTCAAGTCCTGGGAACACCTAGAAAATCAGACTTGGCGTGTGGTGGGAAACGGTGGAGAGCTCACCCTTACCAAGCCAGAGCAGAGCGGGCTTTACCGCTGCCGTGCCGCGAGTCAGTTTTCTCAAAACCACACAGTCTTTATCATCTCCATGCATACAACAGGTTGGTGGTCGGTTTTAATTCTGCAGTTGCCCTCAGCTCTACTAAGCTTTAATTTGTCTTTCAGCTCATTGGTTAACTGTCCAGCCCACAATTGTTTTTGTTCACTCTCAATACTCTCACAGCTGTTTCTGGCCAAAGCATTTGAAACCAACTTATGCACAGATATTGATATATCTACAGTCGGCTAATACTGTCCAATATTTGAACAACTAACTACGAAAAAGTAGTTTGTCATGCACAAAGATAGAATGCCATTTTGTTTTTGTTTTTTCAACTGTTTATTATTTTTGTCTGTGACCAACAACTAAAATCTTTCTCCTGCAATTCTGTGCTTTTTCCCTGACTTACAGCAGTCAGTGAGAATTTAGGAATAGCTGCCTTATTTTGTTCTCTCCTGGCCTTGATCATCGTCTTTGCTATTCTTTTTTGGCTGGGCTGGCACAGACTTGGTGCCACATCGACCACCTCCAACATTGCAGCTAAAGGTAAAAAAAAAAGCATTTCCTGTCAAAATCTTGTAAATACCTTGGTGAAATGTTAACCCAATTCTGTTCTGTGGACAATTTTGATGTCTTGGATTTCTTAAAGGTTTTCCTGGACCTGAACAGTCACCAAAGTAAGTCTCTACAGGAAAGAAATGTGTTTATACTCGTGTTTGCATTTGGTTCACATGCTGTTTAAGGCTGTGCCTATATTAACAGTCTGATGACATTTTGTACTTATCAGGGGAGGTTTGCCACACACTGAAAGTGACGGAGATGTGTACATAAATTACACAAACACCAGCCAAGACTACACTGATCTCGACCCCACCAATGTGACCGAGGACAATGTGTACTCAAGTCTATCATGAACGTTCATGTGAATGTGGAGATATGCAGTAAAAAGACCAAAAAACAGCATTTTGTTCAGCAGAAAAATATCTGCAGAAAGAGCTCAGCATCACCTTTAACCTGAATAATGAGGTTTGCTATTTGTTTTTATTTACTGTAATCTGATTTGACAGAAATTATTCAACACAATCTGAATGTGGTAAAAATAGTTAAAATGTTCACACAAAACAGCAAGAGTCCATTCCTTGTCTGTGTTTGTACAATTTTGATAAAACCTGTAATTTGTGTCACAAAAAGCATGTAATTTATTCTTCTTTTTTTCATGTTTGTTCACAGACTGAGATGCCTCCTAGCTTGTTGATTTGTACGAAACTGTCTTTTTATTTTTCTTCAATCATATCAATACAATAAAATTCTAATCACAAATGTTGACTGTGGAGTAAAACCATTTCCTTCTGAAAGTTTAAAATGACATTACAAACACATTTGAGGAACATACAAGATAACCAAAGACACTGAATACAAAATGCGTCACAAATCAGTTTTACAACAGCAGGTAAACTCACAGTAAGAATACGGTATCATACATATACAGTAGATAGGTGAATAATAATAAGTGTTGTCACACTGAATCATGGGATTTGTACCATGTGACATATACACAATAGTGGATGCCAGAGGTGAAACGTAGCTGAAGCATGATCACTCCCGTCACATGGTTTCACAATATGAGATAGAACTTGTCCATGCAAAGTCCAAAAAAACCTGTAATTCATCTGATGTGAGACAACAATCTCATATATTTTACTAATAAAATGTCAGGTGAGACGATTACGCCGACTGAGCTGAAGTGTGTGTGTAATCTAGTGAGAACAACCAAAAAGAGATGACTAAGCTCTCTATATATGGTTGTTATCCTTGACTTCTCTACTGTTTTAGTGCCCCCACTTCATGCAGAACAACCCCTGCGGGAGGATTTAWATATTTTTGTCTGCTGCTTTATCAGTTCATTTCACACACTAAAGTGATAAACTGTCCTCCCGCAGAATTTTCAGAGYCATACTCGATTTGCTGATGTACTTCTGCTTGCAAAACTTCTCCTTTTTAGCTTGTTCTTCACACAGGAAGGACTGGWRCAATGTGTGTGGAAATAAARTGTCAAAATAAATGTGTGAAACAACATGAAATTCTGAGGGTGACACTAAACTACATYAACACTGAAACTGCTTATAGTTCTGGAGGTGCAAGAAAATGTAATMTTGWARCAGGGGCAACATGAAAGTCTTTCACACACAAGTAACAAATATCTACACTTTTGTACAAGTATTAAWTCTGTTTAAATCAATTTATTTCGGGCTGCTGGTGCTCACTATGGTGTCTCTGGCTCTGATTCCTGCTGTCCATGGAGACCTGTGAGTTTAGCGTCTGTGAGCACCCCTCTCTCTTTACTAACTGTTTAATGTGGGCCGTGATGAACCCTCTGAACTTCTGTGTGGCAAAATAATAAATTACAGGATCCAAAATGCAGTTGAGGCCCATAAGAAGCAAAGTGATCTGATGTGCGTCGTTGAGTGCCTGAAGGGTCTTCTGGTCCCACTGTACGTGGCCCCAGCCCTGTGTGATCTGCAACACCGCCAGTGTCCAGAAGCCTTGAATTACATGGTGAGGCAGGAAACACAGAGCAAACACTCCTACCACTGCAAACAACATCTGCAGAGCTCTCAGTTTCAGCCCCCTGGGGCTTTTAGTTGAGGAGGACATGGTCCTGTGGGACTTCCTGGATATGATCGTTGCAGACCGGAACCCTGACTGAGGAGGATTTTCAGAAAGCAACGCTCGAGCAATAAGGAAATTACACACCACGACCAGAAAAAACACCACAAAAAACACTCCTATTATTGCAAAATGAGTGGCAGCCACTGTTTTCTTCTGTGAATCGGTTCGATGGTGGTAGCCCTCGAAACAGCGAGTGACGTTGTTCTCATCAGTGTTGGTCCCTGGAGATGCCAGAAATGGAATAGCCATCGCCAGGGTCAAAACCCAGATGACAACGCACACGATGATCCCACGACATCTGTGGTCTGAGGTGGCCACATCCAGAGGCCGGGTGACTGCCCAGTATCGGTTGATGCTGATGGCCCCGAGGAAGAGGATGGAGCAGTACGTGTTGATGAAGAACAACGAGCCAGTCAGCCGGCACATGAAGTCTGTGTAGACCCAGTTACCCTGCCGACTGTAATAGCCAATCCAGAAGGGAAGGGCACTAACAAAAAGGAGATCGGCGATGGTCAAGTTTGTCATGTAGATGCGGATTTCCCCCATGGCCCTGGTACCGCGGAGGCAGCGCAGGACAAACAGCACGTAGAGGTTAGCGAAGAGGCCCATGATGAAGATGATGCTGTAGACAACTGGGAAGAGGACATAACGAAACTCAGAGTCCAGGAAGGCTGAGCCATTACCAGCCGAAGAGCCCAGACTAGAGGTCCCGGTTACGGCAACCTGCTCTGTAGTTGAGGGCAGCATTTCTGTCTGTGGGAGACAAAACATATAACATCATAAAGCATTCTGGGGTTTGTTTATAGTCAAAAGAAGCACAATCAGTCACCAGTTTATTAAGTACATCCAGCTAAAACAAAGTCTAATACAATATAAATCCAACCCATGAAGGTTGTAATGTTTTGGTTAGAATTGGTTGATTGAACATTTTGGAGGCTGCAGTTTGTGGTGTTGCTGAATGGCGTTATACTGACAGGTGTATTTATTTATATTATCATTAAACCTTAGTGTGTAAGGTCTACCTTACTATTTGTTTTACTTAAATAAAGAAACTCTTAAGTAAATATTAACTTCTTTTTTCTTTTGTTTTTTTTAGAAAAAGACTTACAATAAAATCTTGACTTACCAGACTGCTTCTTCTCCTCTAATATCTCTCAAGAAGTATACGCTATGAATGGCTCAGCAGCTATTTAATACAGTTAAACTCACTGAATGAGCGGATGCTTGCGTCACTTCAAAGTTCAAGAGGTGTGAATGGAAATCCCCACGTGTTGCAACAAGCATCCCGACCTACTTATTTTGCTGTGTGTGTTCCTGTCCGACAAAAAGAAGAAAAAAAAACCTGCCATTTTGAAGAAATATTTTACAGTTGGTTTTTATTTCCATCATCATAAAAACATGTTTTAAATATTCTGAGGAAGACACCAACAACAGAGTGGCATCGTTAAATTGAAACGTGGCTTCTCTCTGGGAACATAAGGCAAACAGCAATAATTTGCTTTAATAGAATTGTTGTTTTCCTTTAGAATATATTTGAAATCGTTAGTTATAATAAGAGTTGAGCTCTGAAGTTCACCACTAAAATAAAGTATAAAATAAAATTGTAATTGTAGTCGGTTACATTTTTCAATGTAATATTATGCTATAATAATTCGTTATCACAACATAGGAAGACATGAATGTCACTTTAAAGTCACTTATGGCCATTAAAGACATTTTAATCCACGCTAGAATTAAGTATCACAACACCAACTTCAATTTGTCACAAATTGCAACCAAAAAGTCTTTCTAACTTTATGAGCAGCGGCTCCAGCTTTCATTTCTCTTTATCTCCCATATTAAACATTGAATTATTTACGCTTGTACTTAATTTAAAGGCTGTCTGAACAAGTCCTATCTCTTCAATGACTCATGATTGCAGCTAATAGTCCGAATGATGAAAATGAAGCGTCAGATTAGTTTGATGATAAATGTATTGTCATTAGCATGCCTTCATTGTTGGTTATATAGTCCATCAGGGACGTGCAAACACATTTGTGGGGCTCTTTTACTTTTTAAAGGGCACATCAACACCCACTGTATTGTCACCATGCCTCCAGCGGATGTTAGCACACTGTAAAATGATTTGTGTCTTGGAATGTATTGTATGTTGAGCTGGATAGGTACCTACAAATATATAATATATATATATATTGTCATACATTGAATGTGCTGTAATTACATTGAATGTGTTGTAATTCACTATCCTGTTCTACACATGACATCTATTGCACTTCTGTCCATCCTGGGAGAGGGATCCCTCCTCTATTGCTCTCCCACAGGTTTCTTCCTCTTTTCTCTTTTCTTCCTCTTTTTTGGGGGAGTTATTCCTGTTCCGATGTGAGGGTCCTGGGACAAGAGGATGTCAAATGTGTACATATTGTAAAGCCCTCAGAGGCAAATTTGTAATTTGTGATTTTGGGCTATACAAAATAAATTGAATTGAATAATATACCGATAGAATTTTTTTGTCTTCTTATCTAAACCCATATAAACAGTGACACATTCAACTGTTGATATGTTTGGCTCATCAGCAGCTGAGGCAAGTGTGCAGTAATGCATTCTAACCACATGGGGGAGGAAGAGGCAAAGACAAACAGCAAAGAACAACAGGGAACAGTGGTGGATCGATTTTCAGTCCAGGTGAGGCTCCATGCAGCACTGTGAACTGCATGAACTACCACTCTCACGCTCTGTGTAGTTCAAAGCAGCACTTACATTTGTCTTGGTCATGAAAGCAGTTTATGTGAGATGCGGTTTGGAGTACAGTGTTGTGTAACCGTGTTGAATTATATTGTATACACTGTAAAACATCATACAGCAAATTAGCAGAAACAACTAATCTCTTATCAAATACATTTATTAAAAAATAAAATTATCCTTAAAAGTTCTGGTTCTCAGATGCATCTCAAATGTATAAACATCATAAACATTTATTAGTTATTCTGACTAGAAATGATACATTGGAGTAAACAATGGGCTTCTGTAACAGTTATCACTCTGAATGACTGCAGATAGCACACTAAATGACACCAGTTGAAACCAGGTGTACAGCGTTAGTAGAGAGGTTGCACTGAGAGACAACACAGATTGATCCGTGTGTCTGTCTTGACCTTTAGCATCAGAGAATTAACTGCCTTTAGGAAAACATTTAGTCTATATCAAGTCACATTTACCAGATTCAGAGAATCTGAATCTGAGGGTTCTTTAAATTGTCTTGTTGTCAAAAATGGGGCCAGGGTCTTTGTTGCAAACATTTGAGGCTGCTTCGTAATGGAAACTTGGAGAACCTCTTGACTTAAATTCCACTCTAAAACCTCAACACGGCAATGCCACTTGCATGTCTGAACCTGACACCACAAATGTTGCATAACTTTAATTGTGGCATTTGCACATTTATAAGCATATGCAGAATAATCAGCATTTTTGTGGTGGTCAGTTTGCAGTTCCTGGATATTTATGGACATCACAGTGCACATAACACCCCCAAAACAGCTCTATAACAATTCAATGGGGATTTATAAAATGTCTATGCTACTGGAAAATACGTTTTTAGTCATCTTATCAGTGTTTTCATCCGTTTTGCATAATTTAAGACTCCTGTAACATTGCCACAGGTGATACTCTTTGAGTTTATAGCAACTTAATGATACTTTCGGCACTTAATTCCTGTATCACTGCCTCTTAATATTGCAATAGGGACCCGTCCTGTGGTATACGATGGGAATCTTGAGGTAAATTAGTTCTTAATGCTATGCTATATCCACATTGTATTACAAAGATAGTGCTATGGAAGTGTTGTGGAGGATCATGGTATACCAGGAAGTGTTATAGTGATCTTATGCTGTTCAATTCAAAAATATGTTGTGTGTGTAGAGCGAGAAAGTAGGAGAGAGATTAACTCAGAGTATATTAAAATACACACAACCTCTCTTTAGATTCGTTCCTCCCCACCGGCCAGACTTGCCTATGTTATGTGGGGAAGAGGGGCGGGACCTCGCAGCCGGGAAGGGCGTTCTCTCTGCGGTCAGACCGGGCAGAGTCATCCCGAGGGGTGGGTCCTCCGGCAGCAGTAAAGGAAAACCCACCTTTTTTCATTGTTAAGGACGAGGTGGAATGTGATGGTTTGATCTCAAACGGACCAGGGAGGGGAATATCCAAAAGGAAAGGACCGAAGAAAGTGATTTAGGGAAAGGGGGGGGAACAAAAAACGCAATTCCCCCTGTGTCCTCCAACTCTCTGGTTGTGTCTCAGAATATGTGGATGAACTTTTTCTGTCCCGGGGGTGGACCAGCTAAAGATAAAGTCAGTCTTTATTGCTGAGTGTGTTTTGGGTTTTCATTCATAACTTTGTGTAGCTTTTCTCGTGCAGCTCACTGCAAATCAATGGAATTTTCAAATCTGTTTTCATACATTTTAAATAAAGTGTTACATTGTTCATCTGATTGGAATAAAGTCAGCGTGCATCAAAGATTCCTCATCAGCGAGCTAAATAAATCACTAGAGCAATAAAAAAATGAACTATCCCTGTATTTCAATGAGGCAAATTTGCTCCGTCAAGCTTGCATTTGTATTAACAAGTGATAGTGATACACATGTATACACAGATACACAAAGAATGAATTGCAATGAATTTAATATGGGTTGAACAGAATATACAGTATATATATAAAAGAGTAGAGAGGCAGGAGGAGCGGGTTTGAGCTCGGCAAAGTGGAGCGGAACAGAGGACTCGGGTCAGGGCTAGGATACAGAAAGGGATGAGATAACAGTTGGAGGCAGATACAGAAGGAGTAAAGTCAACAATCCCCCTCCTCATTTGGTCATGCAGGACTGGTAGGTGGGCACCATGTATTTGATTTTTAGGAAGGCATCCCTTCCTCCCTGGCGCTCAAACAGCTCCAGAGTCTCACCGATCAGTTGACCGATGTTCTCTCCCCCCTCGCCGTACTCGTCATCTCCAATGTCTGGGGACGAGGAAACAGAGTCAGACAGACAGCATGAGAAAAACAAAGATATTTAGGCTCAGTCGGGGTCATCGCAGACTGTGAGCTTGATGTCAAGGCTCACAGAGCACCACCTGTGGCCACGCTGCAATGCTTTGCTGCGGACAGAGTCGGCAAATGCCGTCCTTCCATCTGACTTCAAATCCACCGGACGGACTGAAGTAATACACTTGTGGCCAATCACAATATGGCAAGAAAGCTGCAGAAACTCCCCTCCCCTAGGACACACGCACACACACACACAAACAAACATATGCAGACAGTGCAGTAAAACACACAAAATTGTTCTTGAGCGCTGGGGGAACTTGTTATCGAAAAAATTCCTGAGGTGTCCAACCTCAACTCCTTCCTCCCTTTCAGCAGCAGGCACACTGTAATGGTACATTTCTACTTATTTCTACTTCAATATATTGTGTAAATGCTTAAGTGCTTGCACGTTTGCTCTGAACTCAGTAGATCTTCACCCTTTGTGTTAGCATACATGCTCAAATGTATCTTGCTGTTTGTTTAATGGAAATTTGATATCCTTATGAGTATCTTATATTCTTATGAGTGGAACTGTTTTATATACTTGTTGTGAAACAGTCTATCATAAGCTTGCATCATGAGACTTGTGAGCCATGCAGCAGCTGACTGCCTGCACCCATATCCTCTTCTTCTTCAAGTTGGATAACAAGTACGTATTATATATCAAATGTTCTATGCCTTAAGGATAAAACGTATATATCTGTGTGTCTGTTGTGACACAGATGAAGCACCTCTTATACTTTTACTACCATGGCCTGCATGGCCTGAAACAGGATGTTCCAGTACACAGGCCCCCACCCTTGATAACTCTTGCATATAACTCTGTATGATTTGTACTTCTGTAGTGCACACTTCTACAGACTCTGAGTGACTCTGTACAACTGCGCCTCTTCTCTGGCCAGAGAATAAATACTTTAAAGACAATTCCTGTTTCACGATATTCTTCATTTCAGTTTAATAAGACTCAACAGCGGGGAAAATAATTTTCCACCACAACACTTAAACACACACACACATACACACACACATACGCGGATCGTGACTTTATCAGCACACAGCAAACTGCCAATCTCATGGCATTGCACTGGGGCCTCAAAACACTTTTCAGAGGGAGGTAAATATAGAGAGGAATAAAGCGCACACACGCAATCTTCCCAGGTCTTGGTGTCACCCAGGTGAAGGCTTTCAGAGAAAGCAAGTACTCCTCCTCAACAGCGCCGGGATGCAATACAATGCAGCCTGACTGACAGCAGATAGGACAAAATGGAGCTTCTCTGTCAAGTGGATGTTAAAGTCGTGGGAGGAAAAGGAGAAAAAAAGGATTCAGGGACAGGTGCATGCACTGGATCTACAAAGAAAATAAGGATGCTTTCTGCCGGGAAGTCACAGGATTCACTGTCTTAACACAGGCTACACAATACACATGAATACTTATCACTGCCTGTCACAGGCTCGTAAATGTTTGCTGTCCTTCAACTCTCTGACGGAGTAGCAGTGCTCGCACGAAAAATGATTTATAACACGAAGGGACGTGCTTACACGATGACTGCCCCACAAAAGCGCAGAGCCTCGATATGCTGACACACAATCTGTCCGTGAATTAACACTCAACCAGTTGGAACTTACTGTTCTTCTCCTTGAAGATTCTGAAAATGGGGAGGATTTGTCTGAAGTACGGCACCAGAGCCTCTCCCACGTCGTCACCGGACACCACCAGATGTTTCAGGACTTTCAGCATGATGCACATCACCTGATGGTTCTTCGTGTTCAGGGCCTCTGAAGAGCAGGACAGAAGGCAGAGATCAGTCGGTGAAAAGGGGCTACAAGGTAAAACTGTCCATTTTTAGATCTGATTTGCAGGTTGTTTGTTCAGGCAGGTGGAGGTACAGTAAGTGTGGAGTGATTCTGACAACTGCAATTATATGGTACATAAGACAAATTACACATAAATCGTAACTCCCACACACACACTACCTTCCCCTTGAAAGCATTTCCTTTACAGCTTGGCTTTGATTTACTGTAGACTGGCTCGTCTGCGATCAGTGATTTCAAATGCACTGGGGAGGCAGGAGTAAGTGAGAGCCAATCACTGGGCTATTTGGCCTACAGCTGCACTTAACTCCATCTCCCACTGATAGAGAGAACAAAAGGGAACGATGGTGGGAGAGATGGAGGGCTGGAGAGATGAAGAGAGACAAATTCAGAGAGAGAAAGAGGGAAGGGGGTAAAACAACAAAAGACAGAAATGTCAGAGAGAGAGATGAAGAGATGTGACAGGCGGAGGGCAAAGGGTTAGCAAATAACTGTGATTAGCAACTAAGACAGA